ATTGATGAAACCGTGAACTCTTAAGCGTGCGGAGTGGTTTTAAGAGGGTCCTTTGTTTTTCCACTCCTTCTTCCTTCTTCCCCCGACACGGCCGCCCCTTCAAGATCTTTTCCACTTACCTTATCTGCATTAATATTTGCATAGTCCACCGCCCTTGTCAAAACAGCCGGACGATTTTCTTTTAATTCCGACCATGTTGACACGCCGCATTAAATTTCCCCTGACTGTTTCGTCCCTGACCTTTTTTCCACCAAGACGTCCCATCTTGTCTGTCAACAGCTAGGATAACACCTCGACGAAATGGAACACTTTATGTTACTGTGCGCATTAAAAAAATAAATCCGACGGAAAAAATAAAGCAATATGCCACACTCAAACAAAAAAATGACCAATACCTTTTTTGGTGAATAAAATTAGCTTTAATTTAATGCATGACCAAGATTGGCGACCGGTTCCAGAAATTAAAACTTTATTAAATAACTACCAAAGAAAAGTAATGCAATCTATTACCCTGGACTTGAAACATTCAATTTATTCCAACAGCTTTACACTACTTTACAAAATAATTTCAGCATCAAGTTAAACATTAATGAGGAAAAAAGTTTCATCAATGATCTTTTTTGTACAAGACTCTGTGGGATGAGCGGGAAGTGTACTAGTTGAGAGCTGATGTATAACTGACTCTATTGAAAACTTATACATATCAATATATACAGAAATCGATTTTTTTACACTAAACATTTGGCCACTACAATTTTTTGTAAATAACATACATAACTGTTTTTTTTTTTTAATATCCACTCTTTAGATGATTTTAATGTAATTTTTATTTAGATTTTTGTCTGAATTTATTCATAGCAAGCCAAGCCAAAATATTGAAAGATTTCTAAAATATATCTACTCTTTTAAATTGAACTTTTAAAAAAATGCTATTTTGATTTTTTTCAAGCGCTGTAATAATCGACAGTATCTTCAAAAGTTCACACTTTGGTAAATATTCAACTTTGTTTCGCCAGACGACAATCTCGATCCAAACAGGGTTTAAATTTGTTTATTAACATTTCAAAGTCTCTCGTGTAGCTGAATAGAATCGAAAAAAATACACGCGTCTGCCTTGTTTTTGCCAATTTGGTAGTTTCAAAAACTTCATCATCCTTTCCAGTGAGTTTTACCAATTTAACCAATCCGTGAGTGAAGTCTCCTCCGAAATATGAGACTGACATTTATTTTGTTAACTTTTAAATTGTATTAATCATGAAATGAATTGATAATATTTTTGTCTACTATTTAAAGCTTCCGATAATTAAACTAAAATTTATTAAAATAATTATTAAAAAATGAATATTATTCTATACATAAGTCAACATTTTTATTTGAAAACATAGTTTTCTCTTCTCCTAGCAAAAAATTTAGCTTTTGAAAAATAAAACTCGTAATCTTTTAAATAATAGGGTAACATAAAGTTCTCCTGGTGAAGCCATGTTTTACAAAAACATAAAATATCTGACCTTATTAAAACAGAAAATTCTTTTTTCAAAACTACTGATATGAAAGAAATGTATGGCGATCTCACAATAAATAATTGATTCACTTTTTGATTTTTTTTCGACTCTACGTAAGGCCTCATGTGGTGATCGGTGTTCTGGGATGGTAGTGGAATTGAGATGACGGATTAAGGCATTGAGATGTGTGGAAAGGGATGGATGGGATTTTTTGTAACAGTTTTTCGCTGCTTTTGAAACAAAAGCCTAGTTTAAAAAGCATGTATCTTATCTTCTATAGTAACTTGGAAGTTTGGATTGACGATTCTAATAGCAGTTGGTCTGTTTGGATCGTTTCGTTGTAGTCCTGTGACCGGATTAACTTTGTCCAGATGAAGTCCCAAGTAATAGGTGATGGTGCAGAATAAGTCTGAGGATGAAGTTAATGTACTGGCTCTTCGTTGCGTTTATTTTAATTCTCCACATTTTGGACCAATCATACAGGCAGTGCAAATTGTTTTGAAGGTGTCTGTATGTAGTGACTGGATGTATACCTCTTTTAAGATTTTCAAGATTTTCAAAGACACAAGCATTGATGGCATGTATTCAGTTTGATATATAGGGGAAGGATTGTCGTATCACAGCAAGAGTGGAGAGAATTGTTTCAGGAAGAAGAGGAATATTCGTAGTATACATCGTGTAAAAGAGAGGTTGAAGAATGTTCCCTTGTGGGACGCCAGCTTGGATAGGATAGATAAAGGATAACACTGGGTTTGTCTATCTTTAAAATAAATGTGTGGTGATTAGTGACCGTTAATCGATATTTATTTAGAAATCGTGAGATGCGGTCTGGTGTGATGTAGGTTTCAGAAAAACATTTTCTTTATCGTGCCAACCTTTCGATCTTTATTGAGATCATCTTCAGCGCTCAAAGTGTTTGTCTTCTGTGTAATTGTGTCATTCTTGCGTGTCGTGTCGAGAGTGCCCACGATAGTTTTGGTTAGGTTTAGGAACCATTTGTCTGTGTTAACAGATGTTTGTTTGTTGATTAAGTTAATTTTTTGATGTGTTTGTTTTGATTTTGTCGAAGTGGACGTTGTATGCATCTTTTTGATGTGTGTAAAATTCTTTCAAAATGTCTGTAGGTATTCTGTTGGCGGCACTGAGTTTTAATTGGTGTAATTTTTGTATTAGTGTCTTAATGTTTTGGATGCTCGTGGTGATTTCTATGTTTAAAATGTTTCGTTTGAAATTTATTGTTGCTTTATGTATGTCGTTAATTCTGGTGTTTGGCTGTGTTAGTGTGGCATTTGTAAAGTTAAAATTGTTTTTGATGTGAGTAGGAAATACCTTGTGTTGTCTGCATTTCAGCAAAAAAGTTCTCTGATAGAGGCACTCTCGTCACGACACGCAAGAATGACACAATTCACAGAAGACAAACACTTTGAGCCCTGAAGATGATCTAAATAAAGATCGAAACGTTGGCACGATAAAGAAAATGTTTTTCTGAAACCTACATCACACCAGACCACATCTCACGATTTCTAAATAAACTTTAAAATAAAGGTCAGACAGGTAAAATTTTAGGTTTATGCAGTAGGTAGTTCGGGTGCCGGCCAAATCCTGTAAAAGGTTTGAGCAATACCAAGGAACACACCCGGACAACACTGCTTCTGCTCAAGCTGCTCAAAGGATGAAATGATGTCCTCAACGCAATGACATTGATGGATTGAATAATGTAACGTCCTAAAACCAAACCAGTAATTCGGAATAGTTTCTTGGATTTGAATGATAGGACGGTAGGATGAAGGAAAAACAAAGGAAGGTGGTTTATAGGAAAGAATTATAGTAGTAAAAACTGAAAATAGAAGAAAAACGTTTAAGCTCCAAAATCTATGTTGCAGTGGGACTTGAGAAGTAACGTCAGTGAATTCAGCTGCATTTTACTTAAGTTTGGCGTTTTTAACAATAAAAAATCAATGATAATTTCAAATTGAGAGCGCCAAGGTTTTCCTATTTTACTGGCAACAAATATATCAATTTTTTTCCCAAATTTCGTTCATTGGGGAAAAAAGTCAATTCTGTTTTACTTTTTATTATTAAATTTAAATTAATAACAAGCGAGTTGTTTTACACTAGAATACAGTATTTTACAATCGAACAATAATTTCATAAATATCCCAAGTGGGGGAGCTATTTCAGTTACGTGCGATAATAACCTGTTTATAAAATAATCCTTTCTCGTCAGAAGCCCTCCGGCCCCGTATGTGTGTCGCACTTGGGAACTTAATTAAAAGCGGGAATTAATTATACTTTTGTAGCTGTCCCTTTGTCCTCGTCGGCTCATTCTTTATTCACAATGTCGGAGGCACGTGTTACTCCCGGTCGACACAAAAATGAACAATCGCCAAACAAACACTTTTGTGTCCGGTCTAATCACGTTTTTGACCAACTCTTATTGTCGTTGTTGATTGCCGTTTTCTTTCCTTTAATGCGAAATCTTATCAACCTATTTCATCCTTTGTCACGGGACGGACAATTTCTACTAACTCTATTCAATACCGCATTTATGAAACTAATGTCGTCATTCAGTTGTTAATAAAAAGGAATTGACAATAAATCTATTTTGAATAAATCGTAAATAATTTCTAACTTCTCTTTAAATATATATTTACTTTTTTGTTTTAATTCCGTAATATATAATTCATTAAAATAACTTAGTTGAATTTTTTTTTCATGAAAATCATATGAACATAAAACCTGGAAAATATTATATTCATTCATTTTTTAATGGTTAATTGACAAAATTACTTCTTTCGATTAATTATTCTTGAAAATGGCAAAAAGAGGGAAAATTCGAACGGTGGTAGGTTGAGATGGAGAATTGGTGTCCGAGAGGATCGAAGTCAAGATAGCTCAAGTGGTAGAGCAGCGGCGAGTCTAGCCGAAGGTCGTGGGTTCGAATCCCGCTCTTGACACTGACTTTTTTGTCTCAACCAAGACCTTACATAAACATAATAATTAATTATATTCATTGCTATCTTTGAATATGATGTTGAAGGTTGAAAGGCTTCTTGAAGGGTTGACGTTCATAGTGGTGAAGGTCTGCTGAAAAGCGTAGGGTGAAAAAAATCGATAATTTTCCAATTCCGCTGGGTCAGTGTGTTAAAACAAGGGTTGGGGGGGTTTGCCTAGGGTAAGTGGTTTACAATACACACAGAAACATCGATTCGTGATTCATTGTATACTTTTCTTTATAATCTTATCAAAATTTAACAATTTTATCAATGATTATTTGTCATAACTATAAATTAAATAATCGAAAATTAAAAAGTAGACCACACAGATCGTATGGCTTACCCTAGACTTGAAATTCTGCTCATTATCCAATTAAAATCTATGTATAGTAGTTCAATTTGGTGCGTAAACACATGCACATTTATTTAAAACTTTTTCTAAAATTGAATTGATTAAATCTCTTAATTTAACGCTTGATCTCTTTGTTTGTTTTTTTTACAGCCGAATTGAAAATGGATGTCTTGAGGGAACGGGAGGTGAAGGACAGCCTGGAGCGGCAGCTTCTGGACGAGCAGAAAGTGCGAAGTAAGTGAAACCCGTTGAAAACAATTGGCCTTTCCTCGAATCCTTAAAGGACACAAGACAATGATCCTCCCCTGTTATTGCCCCTCGACCTTTTCTGGAAATGCCAAGACAGACTCCTAATGATAGCCTCAAACCCACTCAATGTCTTACACCCCTTTCCTCAGTTATGGGACAACTACAATTGTAATTAATTTATGGTCGGACTGACATTAGGTAAGCCGTTATTCTAAAGGGCAATTCTTGTCGCTTTTGCTTATTAGCTTACTCCCAATAAGAGCCAAAGCTTTGTTTAACGTATAAAAATTATCGTCGTGGAAGAAAAACCTATGCTCTATTCTTATACAGCTGAATTTAAATTTTGCAAAATAAATTAACACCTTATCGTCAGACAACGTTTTAAGACAAAAACGTTTTTCCAGGTACTTATATACATTTTTTCCAACTTTTGTTAGCTGTTTCTTTGTAGGAAACCATAATTTAAAATTGTAAAAAAAACACAGGTTATTAGTCCGATCTAAACTATTAAATTAATATCTAAACTTTGTAAAGCTTTATCCTCGTCTAACTTTTAATTAAAATGTACTTTAGAATAAACCCATTAGAGTTCGTGATCGGATCGACCAATAACTTCTTTCAATTAATTAATCTTTAAGTAAGTTATTGGTTGAGATAAAAAAGTTAGTGCCACGAGCGGGATTCGAACCCACGACCTTCGGCTAAATACGCCTTTACTCTTCCACTGGAGCTATCGTGACTTCGATCCTCTCGGACACCAACTTCCTAATCATGAGATGTCATCAAAGTGACGATAGCTCAAGTGGTAGAGTAGTGGCGTATTTAGCCGAAAGATGTGGGTTCGAATCCCGCTCGTGAAACTGACTTTTCTATCTCAACCAATACCATTTTAGAATAAACCTTAACAATTGCTTCATTTCAACATCTACACAATCTTTAGTGGTTTTTTTAATTCATTGATAATTATGACATTATTCATACAAAAATGAAAAGAAGAAAATGCGTCTGATTTTAGTTAATACTACAGCCAAACTGATCAGAGGAACTCTAAATACAAAACAGTATTCAGCAGAACCTATTTGTTTTTTAAATATCAAATTAGACGCTTAACTTTCTGGCAATGGCATTCTGTTTTATGTTTTTTGATTATTTGTTTTTAAAACTTCAATGCAGGATAAAGTGTGCGCCTTGAGTAGTGTATATACGGGTGATTTACTACTTCATTCGTTCATTTATTTCCCAACTTTAACACAATAAAAAAGCACAAAAAGAAAGAACAATGAAAGAAAACACACAAAAAGTAAATATAGATAACAACCAAAAGAGAAAAATTGGACAAATTATCTACACAAAATACCGAGCGATAAAAGAACACAGAAATCGTAAAACCCAACTTAACCTAATAAAAAAGCATCAAAAAAGAAAAATTCAACTTAAAAATCGATCAAAACACATAAAAAAACAGATAATAAACATAGTGAGTGAACAACCACAGCAGAAAAACTACGTTCAAGTTTTCTTTCTTTATGTGCTTGGTAAGTAAATTTTGCCCAGAACAAAAATTGAATTACTAGATTAATCCCATTTCCCCTATTTTACACTGTCACCACTTTTTTCCCATTTAGCACAAAATTTATATATTTTGGTTCGATGTAATTAAGAAATACCGCTAGAAAGCTTATTTAAACGGAGAAGTTCTGATGAAATTTCCCAGGCTCAGTCGTGAATTTTTCCAACAAGGTTGAAAATTATTTTTTACAACTTTTAAATTTATCTATTTTTGAAAGAAGTGCGTATTTTAACCATTGAAAGTTGTAAAAGGATGCCTTCTTAAAACAAATTTAATGCTCTTTTCGATGCTTTTTTTTATTTCCCCAAAAATGACTAGTTCAAGAGCTAAGAGTAGATTTATGACAAAAAGCGTACATATTTAAGTAAGAAATGTTGCATATCTACTAAAGGGTTGAGAATCGGGCCATGCTTTTGATCACGAACTTTTTTGTTGCATTTGTGGTGTAGAAGCACCTGACAAACTGTATCGTGAATCACCCTGTATATCGCGGATTTTCAAATTTTGAATCTACACTGGCCCATTTTCTCAAATTTTCAAGTTGATTTGAATTCCACGTAATTTTTGCACCAACTATTTCATTAGCCGAAACAGAAACCTGGGCATTCTTGTACGGGGCAGGGGGACGAGTCGCCGCGAGCGGTTTCCTTTGTGCATAGTTGAATTGTTGGGATAACCTGCGACCCGATAACTATGGCAAGACTCGCACAGCAAGACATACCAACTCAAGTATGTCGCCTTTAGATCTCCCACTTGACAGCGATATATACATCGACATTCCTTGGGGTTAATCTTGCCAAGACAATTCGAAAGCTCGGGGTGGCAGTCCTAGGCCAATTTCACCATTAGGGAGGGCGTCAGCATTAACTCGTTAAACGTGCTTTTTTTAGTTAGTTACCTACACAAAATTATTAACTTTCGCCAAACTAAGGTAGGATGAAAGGATAGTCTCATAAATAGTTTCCAAAATTTCATTTGTGATCCCATCGTCATCAGGGTTATCAAAAATTAAAATAACCCAAACTGCTATGACTTTTAATCTAAGATTTACAACTAATATATAAAGTAGAGTGGAGAAAATGTGACTGTTACGTGACTTACGGTAGAACTTAATTTGATATATCAAGGTTTGGTGGTTACCAGAGTTCGTCAGGTGGTTATTTTTTTGGCTATCACCTCCTTCATTTTACTCACGCTTGAATCATCTTCTTCTTTCATGGAATTTTTAAAAAATTTGTATCTAACAACAATATTTTTATTTTTGACCTATATCAATCCTGTATAGTGTACACGAGTCGTGAATAAGTCATTATGTTCAAGCTCACTTCGCTGGCTGATTCACTGAAATTGCGTTATTATATCATTACGTTATTTGAACAGCCCGCAATAAGTTATGCCAGCTTATAAAACGTTGAACCGCCCCGTTTTGCAAGTTTTAAATTTAGGATGTGGCGTTCTTCGATTCTAACAACTTATGGTTAGTCATGTTATACATTACATGTTTTATCTCGAAAAATGAACGTTTCTTTGTTGTATCATAACGTTCTGTGACACTTTCAAAAATGATAGATATCAATTTATTCACACAGTGTTGTTTACCCGGATAAAAATTACGTCTGAGTATTGGGTGATTGTTTGGAATATGATTATATCGTTATGTTGTATCAATATTCATAAAAAATACTTTTTATGGAATGAAATAGGAAAACAAAGGTAGATTACTGATTGCTGATTTATGTAAGGTCAAACCTGCACAAGCATGTATATATGCACGATAGTTGAGCCTACCACTTCTCGCAGTCCACAGGCACTTCCAGTTGTTTACTTTTCATTGAATTACCGACAGCCCTTGAGAATCACTCACTCCGAGTGTTGGCAGTCTGGGTTCAAACCTCGGGTTTGTCCGCCAGCCTCCGAGATTCGACTCCTGGTGCTATCATCAGCTAGGATATTTCAGCACCCAATGCAATCAATTCCTAAATCCAAACTCATTCACGCTCTCACTCACTCTTACTTAATTTCTTACCATTCACTCAGTTAAGATGGAGAATTCGATATTCCTCCAGCACCCTTTTGTATAAATAGCACAGATGAGGGTCCATGGGGGTAGTCAATATAGCACCATCGATCCCTCTTACTCACCATTCACGCTAATAAATTTATTCACTTTTATCACACGTTAGAGACTCAAAACTATCATTACTATATACAATAAAACAACCCTGTTCGGAACAGGCGACCCAAATACTCGCTCTAAAGCACAAGTGTCATATTGGGTAGCATCCTACGCGCTTTCTACATGGAGAATTTCACTCGTCAATGAGGTGGTGAAATTGTTTGTAATCCTTTATTCGACATACATAATACTGATGGTATATGAGTTCTGGTTTTCTCTTTTATTCAGAGAACCACTCCATCAGAGACTGCTAATTGTGTAGTGCCCGCATACGCTGTCCTCAACCCCTCCAGAAGACTTATTTAATTTCGATGACGGCTTATTTGAAGAGGGTATATTGATAAAAAAAAATGGGTGAAGATAGGGGTGGCGTCACCCGATATCGCAGGTGCAACTAATGGAACTTCTCAAACAAACGCACGTGGCCGAGGGCAAACAGAGGAAAACATTTTTATCGATCCGTCGCATCTCGCTGTGATTCGGAAGCAGTGACTGATTGGGGCGAATTAATTCAAAGCGACGCGTCACGAAAGTGGCTCGTTCCAGTTGGAAATTACCTTTTCTTCGGCCAGCCTTGATAAAACCGCTATCGGCCGAACGAGGTATAAATCCGTGACAGCCTGTTTTCAAGGATGACTCAACTGTGATAAGTCGGATGGTCAGCCCTGCAATCTGATCCGCCCGCCCTAATGTACATTTATTGTCCGGTTATATTTGTCTTCACTTATCTTCTGTTTGCCCCGGATATTTGCGCCGTCGAATAAATCAAACCGATTGGCTTCCGAAACGGGACACTGCGTGAAATTCACCTCACATATTTCTGGCTTCGCAGTCTTTCGATGAGCGTCTATAAGTCGACTGGAACTTAAACTTCTTTTCTAAATCTTGATGTTTTCTCAAACAAAAGAACGAAGGACTTTATTTCAACATTTACGGTTCAACGACCATCTATGATAGCCGAGACCTTGACTTTTCCCGAAACCACGTTAAGATCGCCCTGAATGAAAGTATTGCGAAACCTTTGCAACGACGTACTTTTTTCTTTAGTCTTGAATTATAAGTAAAAAAGGAGTTAAAAGGTACAATTAGTTGAATTATATTTACTATTAATTATGTTCAAATTGCTAGAGAAATCCATATCTTTACCTGTGGCTGACTATGGCCATATCGAAAAAATAAAAACCAACTTCACTTCTTTTATTTAAATTAATTTATGGTTTTGGTAAAAAAAAGTTAAAT